AAAGAAAGAAAGAAAGAAAGAAAGAAAGAAAGAAAGAAAGAAAGAAAGAAAGAGGGAGAGAGTGTGTGTGTGGTGTGTGTGTGAGAGAGAAAAAGAAAGGAAGGGAAAGAAAGACAGAAAGAGACAAAGAAAGAGAAAGAAAGAAAAAGAAATAGGAAGGAAGAGAGAGATAGATAAAACTCTGTGCTATTATTTTTAATTGTTCCATTATTTATCATGTGTTAATATTTTACACTGTCCCTACACCTAGAGTGATTCTACTGCCTTTCTTTTGCCCAGGGCAAAAGACCACATATTTTTCAGGGTTTACATGCATTCAGTGTCTATAGTCCAGAGCATAAATACATGTGTGTTTAACAGAGTTGAAAGGGAGTTTGGAGGTCTTCTAGTCCAAGCCCCTGCTCAGGCAAGAAAACTGAGGATGCCAAACTCTGAGTAGAGGTCCTGGGAAAAAAGTCAGAATAACACTTAGAAGGGACTTTGGGGGGAACCCTATACTATTTCAGAGAAATGGCTGTCCAGTCTTTTAACAATTTCCAGTGATTGATCATCCAGAACTTCTTGGGACAAGCAGGTCCACTGGTTAGTTGTTCTCACTGTCAGAAAGTTTCTCCTTAGTTTTAGGTTGCTTCTCTCTTTGTTCAGTTTCCATCCATTGCTTCTTGTTTGCCTCTTGGTGCTTTGGAAAATACACCCCCCCCTTTCTTTGTAGCAGCCCCTTAAAAGCCTGTTGCCTATATCACACTCTTGAGTAAAGCATTTGAGCCATTTCCTCCTTTCAGTGGTCCATGAAAGTACATCTATAGTATGCAGATAATCAAGTAAAAAAAGGTGAACAACATTTTTACAGAACTATAGATAAGTTGAGGCTGGATGACAGGGAATGGCTGGGAGGGGAGCGGCCAGGTGAGGCACCCCTTAATGTGAGTGACATTGAGTTGGCCACACCCACCCAGTCACATGACCACCAAGCCACACCCACCAAATAAGCCACGCCCACAGAACCAGTAGTAAAAAAATTTGAATTCCACCACTGCTCAAAATGTTTTCTTTTCAAAATGTGGCCATTTTATTATTAGTGGCTAATATTCATTTATTTATTGATTAGACTTCTATCTTACCTTTCATCCAGGAGCTGTACATATCAAACTTTCTCCAGTTTTCTCCCATTTTAACTACTATTTTGTGTAGTCCTTGTAGTAAGTGTGATTGGTCCAAAGTCACTAAATGAACTTCCATCATTGAGAATGGGTTTTATTTAGATTTACCTGTTTCTAGTCTAAACACAAGAACTGAACAGTACTGAAATGCATAAAATATTGAGCCACGGTGGTGCAGTGTTTAGAATACAGTACTGTAGGCTAACTCACTGCTCACTCAAGGAGTTCGCTTCTGGATGGTTCAAGGTTGACTCATCCTTCTGAGGTGGGTAAAATGAGGATCCAGATTGCTGGGGACAATATGCTGATTCTGTAAACCACTTAAAGAGTGGTTTTTTAAGTGAGTTAGCCTACAGTATTCTAAACACTGCACCGCCATTTTAAATGCTATTGCTATAATCATCATGGGGGATGTTTGGGCCTGATTTGATAAAAATGTAGTTTTTATTTCAGAAAATTGCATCAAGTATCTATGATTGAATAACATTTATAGTGTCTAAAAGTTTTGCTTGTTTTTTTTTTACTATCAAAATAAAAAAGTAGCAGCCTTGCTGTCTATATGGTAGAGTATATATCTAAATATTGGGTATAAATCATGTCTAGGTACCAAAAAATGACCTCAGAAGAACTCAATTAAGCAGGAAGTACCTAGACATTATACCTTACAGTAGATGTGAATAATGCTACTGCAGTATGAGATATCTTGCCTCTCCTGCTATAAATAATGTGAGGATCAAACATAATTAATTGAATTAACTTAAAGATAACTTTAAGGTTAATGACAGTTAATAACTTTAAAAAAAAGTGTTTGGGAAGACTGAGCCAACCAGCATCAGGATGAAAAGAAGACTGATCCTTGCCATAACTTGGTTCAAAAAAATGAATGGGGAACAAAACATTTGCTTATATAGAAGAAAATGAAAGGTCTGGTCTTAAGATTCACAATAAATCTTACCTCTTATTACTCCATTTTATCCGTGTTTTCATAGTTTCAGGTTCTCCTTTTTCCTCCCGTGTACATTTTTATCCTGCTTGTCTCCCAAGGACCTAAGAAAAATTACCATTTACTCAATCTCATCCATGAAAATTAAGATTTACCAGAGTTTATCACCGACCTCATTTTCCTGTTGTTGAGTAGGAATAAACAGAGTAGAAAATAGGGATTTAATATTTGAGGGGGGATTTCATTTTGCTTTCTCTGAATTATATCCTTTCATAATTTTTGTTTGGATTGGATTTAATGCTATGGTGACACGGTGATTAGAATGCAGTACTGCAGGCTAATTCTCATTCTCACTGCCTGGAGTTCAATCCTGACTGGCTCAAGGTTGACTCAGTTTTCCATCTTTCCAAGGTTGGTAAAATGAGGACCCAGATTGTTGGGGGCAATAGGCTGACTCTGTAAACATTTAGAGCAGAGTTCCCCAACCTTTCTGGGTTGACAGCTTGAGTGGAAGGGGCAGGCGCCTTTACATGTGCATGCAAATGGGGCTGCGAGTACACACAAACAGGGCTGTGAGTGAGCAGTGCTTGCCAGTGACGCTCGTGTAAGTGGGGTGTGCATGCATGTGTGCACATGTGAACACACTGGTCAGCTATTCATGCGGCCTGGTGGCCAACAAGTTTGGGAAGGGCTTAGAGAGGGTTGCAAAGCGCTGAAGCTGTATATAATTCTAAGTGCTATTGCTATTATATCATGAATATCTAGCAATTGAGTTGTAAGACATTCCTACCCAATCATAGCTGCTGCATGTAGCATAATACCTATTATGTTGAAACAACCCATAATTTTCTGTGATTGTAACTTAAAGGGCAGATTGATTATTGTTATGATTCTGGGGTCTTCTTGCTTATACATGATGCAGTGGTGGTGATATGTAAAATATAGGGGAATTAATTAAGTATATTTGTGGATGTACTTTTTTTCTCAGTGTATGTTGAAAGCCTGGTTGGTTGAAAAAGAAGAGGCTTTAAGCAGAATACAGACATGCAACTTTAAAGATCAAACAGAGCTGGGTGCAAATGTTCAAAAGCTGGCAGTAAGTATTACTTTCTTTGTATTGTAAATCTAATAAATTAATAAATAAACAATTAAACCTTAATTATCAGATATAACATAGAGGGAGAGGGTGGGAGAGAGAGAGAGAAGGAAGGAAGGAAAGAAGGGAGGGAGGGAGAGAAAATGAGAATTAAGGCATGTTGTGTCTGTTGCAGGCATAGATCATGATCAAGAACTTTCCCACACTCTGAAACAATTTTGGTTTTTACTCAAGGAATGCCTTTGTAGTGATATTACCCATAATGTTTTAAATGGCAAGATCTCTTCTTATGTGGGAAATTCTACTAATATTTCCAAGGTTCAATGCAGTGGAACCTCTGAATGGTAATAGTAGCCTGGAACTCATTATTTCTGTAACCACCCAAAATAACATTGCAGCCTCATCTCTCCAAACCTCCTATTTCCCAGATATATAGCTCGTCCTCACTTATTGACTGCCTTGATCAGCAGTCATTTAAAGTTACAAAAATATTGAAAAAAAGTCTTACAACTGCTCTTCAAACTTAGGCTATTTCAGGTGGTTGTGATTTGGGTGCTTGGCAGCACAGTGCATTTACTATGATTGCAGAGTCCTAGGTCACATGATCACCATTTGCAACCTTCACAGTTCGCTTCCAACAAGTAAAGTCATTGGGGAAACCAGCAGGAAATGACAAGTCATGATCATGTGACATCATGCTTAGCAATTGTGGGTGATTTGGCTAATTATCACAACCGGAACTGACACTGAAATTTGATCATGGTTCCATGATGTTTCACTTTTTACAATTGCATTGCTTAGTGATGGAGTCACCACATCACCACTCCCCATTGCAGTTGGTAAGTCAGGACTATCCGTATTGGGCTTCAGTTCCCATATTTTCAGTATGTTGGTTGTGAATTTGGATACAGCCCATTGGAAAATAGGCTATTCTTGCAAGTATTCAAAATAAATAGCCTCGGGTGAAATGGATATGAATGTTCTGGAAACTCATCTTTCTCTGTCCATAATTCCTATTCTGTTAGAATTTACAAATTTACAAACATCTTATATTCTAAGAAAGTTGCTGTTCCTGTGGGAAATCTGAGCAAAAGACATTTCTCTAAAATGGCATGGCTATTGTGTTTTCACTGTCAGAGTCTGAAAGAAGACATGGGAAAGAAGCGCCAGATGTTAGAGCAGCTGAATGAGATGGCCCATGATTTGGCACAGCTCCTGAACAACAAGAAGGCATTAAAAAAAATTGACAGTAATCTTGAAGAACTCACGCAGAGATGGGACAACTTAGTTCAGAAACTTGAGGATTACTCTAATCAGGTACTATCCAAATACTACCTTCTCTTTCTGTTTTGGTTGGGGCTTCATTTGGATATGAATGTTGTGCTTCCATTAATTACATTTGTGATTTAAACAAAGTTGTCATTCATTGTTGTTGTTGTTTTTTTGGAATTTTTTTTAAGCTTCATTTGATTAAGATTGACCCCTGTCTCCATTGTTCCTTTAGGTTACTGAGGCAATTGTAAAAGTTGGAATGCCCCAGATTTCTCAGAATGTTCTCACCGAAACAATCTTTGTTGAGAAACAAAAGACAGCCCAGGCTAGCCAAATGGAACAATCTCCACCACCTCTACCAAGGAGGCGGCAAACTGGCCTGGATACTGAAATGAGAAAAAAGTAAGATGACTTCTTGGTCTGGGAACATCATTTCTTTCTCACTGAACATAGGACAAACTATTTTCTTTAATTGCAATGCCATTACTTTCCCTTATAGGCTGATCCATTTTTTCCTTTACACATTGGGTGTGGTCCCTTCGTGACACACCTCTTTTTGTTTAGTGTGTACATGAAGCCAGTGTGTTAACTTGGCTTGTGGTTTAATGTGGTGAGTTAACTGAGTTAATTCAACTAATTGATGTTAAGAAAATCAAGACAGCCCAGAATCTACCTCAGGTTATTTTTACTTTATGCATGTGTTGATTACAAATGAAAGCAGCCAGTTGCTTTAGAATTAACATTGGGGAGGGAGCACTGGACAAGCTGCTTTAACTCTTTAATGGATGTTGTTCATCTCATTGCTTCTCCCTAATTTCAAAGTACAGCCATCTTCTTTGGTCATGGGGATGAGGGGTGGGGCAATTACAGCTGTAAGAATCCTCTTGCTGCCATTTTTCAGGAAATAAAAGTAACTTGCAATCATTTCTGCGCTTTCACTTTCTTGGCCTGCCAGTTGTCTAACTCAGAGCTGTCAAAGTGGCAGCCCGTGGGCCGGATGCCTTATGCGCAGGCCACGCCTGCCCAGCTCCATTGTGAAATGTCACATGATGACAACGTGACATGGCAAGTTTGACACCTGTGGTTTAGCTGAATATAGGATAATATATGGTTTGAATATATGGTTTTCTCCCATTATTATGTTTGGAAATTATGGAACTCTCAGGGATATATATTTGAAGGAGTTAGCAAGTTGAAGATACTACTTTTAGGATGAGGAACAGTAAAGTGGAGAATATAGTAAGAATGTAATTATTTTCTTCAAGACAAAATCTCTCCCCCCCCCCCCCCAAAAAAAAAAAAAATCTAGGAAATGTTAGTTAATGGTTTAACTGGAAGATTGGGGAAGGGAAAATATTATTAAAATGCTTTAAGATATTTGAGTTTTGAATGGGAGGAGAAATGATTCCAAACATTGTTCTGCTTCTTACGCTAGGCTTGATGTTGAAATTGCCGAGTTGTTGAATGGGATTTTAAAATCAAAAGCTGCCATTCAGGCCATAGAGATCAAAGAGTACAAGAAGATGAGAGAGACTTCAGGCATGAAGGAAAAACTGAAGGTAAAGAGAAAAATGGGAAGGCATTTTCTGTGAGTACATTGTTTTGCTAATAGGTGGAAGTAGAGTCTGATCGGAAAGTTTCATCTAAATTGAATTCTTTTTATAAATATATTTTTGGCTAACATGATTATTCTCCACTGGCTACAAGTAACTTTTACTTATGACAGGCAATTCTTAAAGGTTTAATAGGCATTTCTGGCTTCTTTCCAGTTTCCTCCCTTGTATTAAATTCCCTTTTTACTTTGGAGAAGGAAGAAGAAAATCTTATTCTTAAATATGGACCCCGCAGAAATTCTCTCAATAAAACAGAAAATAAAGTGAAATCATGATTTCAGCTCATAGAGACACCTAATAACCTCCTGGTCCACCCTCTGGAGAGAAGACATAAAAAATGGAAATGTGGACAATAATTGTTTTAGGTTAATTTTAAAAGGCCTAATTAAGAATATCACCACAGAGGTACTTCCTATGTGAAATATTGTCAGAGATACGCATAGTGCTGTAATAATTATATACAGTATATTTGGAGGGTACTTCCAGAGCATTTGACACTTGTTAAGTTTAATGGATTCTTTCCCATGAACCAGAACAGCTTGTTTACAAGGATCCTGACACATTATTTTACAAAGACTCATTTAAGTTTTCTGTCACTCTGATTTGCTCTACGTGTCACAGTAGCATCAGAGAGAGACAGAAAAATCAATGGCTAATCTGCAGACACAATGTTAAGTTTAAGTAAAGATTATTTAATAAGTGATAATTGGCTGACAGTGGAGTTTCAGAGTGTAATAAGATGCTCAAAAAGATGTAAACATCTGAGAATATGGTGTTTGAAAACGTAATTAATTTTCAGCTTGTGATGTATGGTGATTTTATGAAAATATGACCTAAGCAGAAAGTATTTTGATATACAGTAAATGCATCTTCATCTAGTTTATTATTTAGTGTTTTAATTCTACTGAAAAATTAGAATTACTAGTTACGAAATGCAGAGGTGGAAAAAAGGGTCACTAAGGGTTTGCTTAGTGGAATTTTTAAATGTTTAGGTTTTCACTTTAAGTTTTATGGCTTTGATTTATAGGCAATAAAGAAAGAAAGAGTGGAAAAAGAGAAAATGTTGAATGAATTGAAACAGACTGCAGAAAATCTGCTAGACCAAATGGGAAAAGGTAATGTTATGATATAATGGAAGTGAGAAGCGCATGTCTTTTCAATTACTTTCTCTTGTTAATATTTGGAATTTTTAGAAAGTATGAATCCATCTGGATGTGTGTTTATGGAAATTTGTGACAATGCTAGTTATAATTTAATAGTGATGGGTGTCCGGGCTATATAGACTATGTTCTAATTATCTAGTGTTTTGATGTTTTGCCAGTAACAGTGGCTGGCATCTTCAGAGGTAAAAGTGATCTGTTTTGTGGCAAACATCTCGACAGCTCAGAGGCAACACAGCAGGAACTAACTGAACTTTTGTTTTGGTCCAGTGATCCCATGATCATGTCAGAGGTGAGGGATTCTGGGAGTTTTAGTTTAGTAATATCTGGAATTCAGATAAGTTTCTCATTGTCAAGCTGTGTTCTTCTCTCAAGTTGTTCAAAGCAAAAAATGTAAATAGGAAGGAACCAGAAACTATGCAGGAAAAAACAGGATTTAGTTTCCCAATGAAATTTGGAATATTTTGATGGCATTGACCCAGCAAAATTCAGGCAGCCACACAGCCTTTATTAACATTGTCTGGTTTTTAATTAAACCAGTTAGAAGATTTCAACATCCAGATCACAGGTTAATACAGAGAATGATGCCTAATAAGGAAAAGATTTGTGACTTTTTCCCCTTGCTAATATCCATGTATTCATGTTGATCAGTCTTAAGCTTTCGTGTAATTTCTTAATGCAAATGTACACTTACAACAATGTTTTTGTCTGCTTTTGTTCTTTTCATTAAGAAGTGAGAGTTTAGTTAAATGAAGCCATGTGTCAAATGATGGTTGCAAAATATAAATATGCTTTATTAAAAAGATATTGTTTGACCTGTCCCTTTCATGATGCTTAGCCATAATGTGTTGTTTGTTTGTTTAGTTATGAACTAGCCTACTGTGTCCTAGAACGATAAGTGAACTAATCCATCACAAACCTGTGGCTAAAAATTTTGATTTAGATTACTTTACTTTACTTTATTGTCATTGCACCTCATATAACGAAATCAAATACCATCTTCAGTGCACATTGAAAATAAAACACAAACACACATCCTTCACCCTCCACACATTGAACTGAAAACTCCTGACACCGCACCAACACTGCACTATACAGCAGAATTCAAAAGAGCTACTGCCCTGGGACAGAAGCTGCTTCTCAGCCTATTTGCCCTTGTTTTTATTATTCTGTACCGTCTACCAGAAGGTAATAGTTGAAAAAAAGGGTGCCCAGGATGAGATGGATCCTTGAGAATGTTTTGAGCTTTCTTAAGGCAGCGGGCGGTATAAAGCTCTTCCAAAGAGGGGAGAGGGCAACCAAAGATCTTCTGGGCAATTATATTAACCTTCGGGAGTGCTGTTCTATCTGCCACTGTTCAATTGGCAAACCATACAGAGGTGCAGTAAGTTAAAATACTCTCTATGGTGCGGCGGTAGAAGGTCAACAGCAGTTTTTCATTCAGTTGTTTTCTGAGAAGTCTCAGGTAGTATAATCTCTGCTGGGCCCTTTTGATCAGTGCTGCAATGTGAGCACCCCAGGTCAGGTCCTCTTTTAGGGTAACACCCAGAAACTTAAAACTGGCCACTTGCTCCACTTCGTCTCCATTGATAAGCAAGGGCTGGATGTCTGATCTGTTCTTTCTATAGTCCACTATAAGCTCCTTGGTCTTATTGGTGTTGAGGACCAAGTTATTGTCTCCACACCACGAAAGCACCCAGTCTACCTCATCTCGATAGGCAGACTCATCCCCCCTGGAGATGAGTCCCACCACTGTTTAGTATTTATATCTGGAATATAGCTGAAATAAAATCTTTCATGCATTGCAACTTGTACAATTGATTTGTTATCTTTGTTCAGAAGGGCTTCCTACTGAAGAAACAGGCAACGCCCTTAAGAGGCTCTTGGCAGAGTGGAAAGGGGCTGCTTGCTACTTGGAGGAAGTAGCAAGAAAAGTTCAATATCAGGATGAAATCAATATTTACTTTAGTGAATTGGGTAAGCTCGATAAGTCTGTGAGCGAGAAAGAAGCATGGCTGCAAGACAATTCTGCAGTTGAGGATCAACCATTAGCAGTGCTACAGGAGTCGTGCCAGGTAAGCTCAACAACCTTGGTGCACCAAATGCAGTTATTTATGTTTGACCTGTACTGCTAGAGTACAGTCGTTGTCTCATATTTGTATGCCTGGACTTGAACATGATCTTGAAAAGGTCGGTTCTGGTGTACCACCTAAGAGGAAAAGCATTTTCCGTTGCGGTTCTTCATCTGTGGAATGTTCTGGTTAGAGAGGTTTATCTGGAGTTTGTATTACGGTCTTTCTAGCACTTAGATGGACAATAGTTACATCCTCTAACCCCCACTTCTTTAACCTCAAACTATCCACTATTGACCTCACCCCATTCCTAAGAGGTCTGTAAGGGGCGTGCGTAAGTGCACCATCATGCCTACCGTCTCTGTCCTATTGTCCCTATTTATTCGTACCTATTTCCTGTATTCTTACTCATGTTTATACTTAAACCTATTGTCTTGTAAGCGATTGACAAATAAATAAAATAGTATTGCTCTAGTTATTATAAGGATGCATTTCGGACTTAATGAAGGCTGTTTTGCTGTGGTCTTATTTGCATTTGTTATTATACTATTATGACAATGATAGTGACAGGGATGATATTTTTACCTGAACAGTTGTTGCTGTTTTATTATTTTATATTGTAATTTTAATCATATTTGTAAACTGCTAAAGAAATGAGGTTCTTGCAGTCTTTAAAAATGTTAATGTTAAAAATAACCAATGTTGGCACTCTTTCTTTCTAAGGGGGAACTCACAAACCTCTTAAGTCTGACTCCTCAAATGGAACACCTGAAGATCAAGTGCAAGGAGCTGACATCTCACCCTGCTGCTCCAGACTTTATTGAAGATAGCTTTTGCTCTTTGAACAGCCACTTCAGTTCTGCCCAGCAGGAACTAGAACTTCTTCTGCAGAAACTGAAGAGAGGTGTGCTTTGATTTTTATAAAATCTCCCTTCCTCTCCTTTGTATTGTCTTAGGTTTCCGCTTTTGCTAGGAGCAAAAGCCTCGCAACTGGGGCTGCTTTCATCTTAGGTTTTGGCAAAGGCTATGTAAATAACCACAAGCATAATCTTAAAAGGGAAGAAATTGTTTGGCCTTCTTCTTGTAATGTCAGAAATATCTTCTACGCCACCGTCCTCCCAGCGTCATCTAGATTGGGGCTTTTCTGGAATGAATGAATTTATTAAGCAGATCATTCCAAAGGCTGGCGAAAAGAGAGAGTATGGAATTTCCTAGGTGATGTCAAAACATGTACATGTCCTTATCTATATAATGCTCTTTTTTTCTTATGATTGTATTGATCGTCTCTTTGGTGTGCTCAAAGGACTTAGACAGAGTGGGAGTAAAGATGACTGTCTAAATTGGCGAAGTTTACTTTTGTCTTCTGTGTTCTATTAAGCACTTTCTCTTATGTCAGAGTTCAATCTTCAAGACATCCCGTATGTCTAAAACATAAGAACTGTCTTCATTTTTGTTGACCTTGAATAGGAAGTCTTAAGGAGCATTGTTTGTTATGATGGCTTAATGTATACCCTATCAGACTAAATGTCTGCCTTGGGCAACTAAACAAAAATCACACATATAAAATGTATTACTTAAATTCAACAATAAACACAGAAAATGTCAGTGTCAATAAAACATTCTAGTAAAACCCAAATGTCAAGACGCTTGAAGTTATTACTGCTCAATGCTGCCTTAGGTCGAGACAGCTTTTCTTTCATGCAGGTTAAGTATGCTTGCAATTCCCCATTGATTTTTTAATGCTCAGATTCAGAGGGGTTTTTTTTCTTGTGAAAAGAGGGTTCCACTCACAGAATCTTCTTCTGCTTTGGAAGAGAACATGGATTCTGCCCATTGTTTTGATTTTTATTTGTGAATCTGTTGCCTTTTTGTCCTTATAGGTTGTCCTTTTTGTCCTTATAGGTTGTCCTTTTTGTCCTTATAGGTTGCTAATATTAACCTTAATCATTATACCAAATTAGCTGTCTAGTTAATACACCCCTAATTAAGTTTTTATGTCAGCTGAATGCACAAGTTTTGTTTAAGGTATGTAGAACAACAAAAGCAAATAAACTCACCTTCAAAATATATTTTAAATATTTTACATTTAAATTTTATATTTTACATTTAGGAAAATAGAAGCTTGGATTGAAGTAAAATTTACCAAAAAAGGAAAACAAGAAAATAAAAAGAATAATGTAGCAGTTACATTTGAATTATTAATTGGATATTGATTTTTATAAATAGCAGAAGGTGAACCTTCTTATTAGAATTTAATAATTTGAATATTTCAGATTTCCATACAATCACCGAGAAACATCTTATCATAACCCTCCTTGACAAATTGTCAAATACAAAGATAAACAATTGAAGCATCTTTTTTCCCCCAACAATTTTGAAGGAAAAGTGAAGAGGAAGAAAAACATATGACAAGTTTAAATCTGAATTCATTACTTAGGATACACAGCCACTAATTTGCTCAGTTGCGGTCGATAAAACAAACAGATCAAACAGACATAGCTCTGAGAGTTGATTAACATTTATGTAAACGACCAGTACTGCAGATGTTTCTTTCAATGCTAGCTGCCAAAGATCCCCAGAAAACAGGGAGTAACCAGTTCTGTAAGCCATTCTGGATCATAATCAAATCCTATCAATATTAGCATACATTCAGAACTGAATTAAACAGAGCAGCAGCGCATCATAGAACAGCTATTTATAGTGAAAATTCATAGAAGAGACACCCTGGCAAGGCTGCCTGCAACCATTATTTGACATCAGTCATCCAAGTAATTGGTCTTTAAAATGTAGATCTACAATACACTCTTCTGCAGGGATTCATGGTACAGTTGAGGGTTTTTTGAATCAAAAATTCAATTGTTCAGATTTATGTCCACAGATGAAACTGCTTGGCTTCTAATCCAGCTTTTCTGTTGATAGACTCCAACCTTAATGTGATTCCAGCTGTCATATAACTACTCTGTATTTTGAATTATAAAGAAAAATCAATACTACATTGTGCATTAGCTTTCTTCAACATGATTACTTCCAGATCAGAGCTCCTCCTGACTCTTATTGGGAGGAGAATGTTGGCCTGAGATGATATGTGTAAACTAACACGTATCGGAGTCCTGTTATTGCAGTGGCTTTGCAAAAGTTTTAGGAAGCAGTTTGTATACATTTGCCACAAGAAACTTTTAAAAAATGTTTTCACATAGTAATTATCTATAATTGAAAAAGACTGTATGTACTGTGGACCAACATTTCTGCTAGGTTATATTGCATTTTTATTTTATATTTTTGGTTCAAATTGTATAAGCAAGTTGTTAACTTGACTTTAAATGCTTACTTTAAATGCAGAACTTGAAAGTCATCCCCCCAAGACTTACTTGGATTCTTTGAAAAAAATTAAGGATGAGGTGAATGAATTGGAAAGCAAAGTGCACTCCATCATGAATTCAGTAAATGACTTGACTCAGGTTGAAAAAGCCTTGCAGCAGATGAAGGTATGTTTCTTTTTGGCACTTGATTAAATTCTAAGTTCAGATGAAGCAGAATACTGAAGGATTGGTTTCATGTCTTTATCACATTAGATTTTTATCTCTGGTGACTAATGTTGGGATGTGGGTAGAAAGTTTGATTGTCTTCTACATTTTTTTCAAATAAAAGGTTTATGTGTGAAAACTGCTGCTCAGTGACAGAGCACGAACAGAGACATGGAATGCAGAAATGCAGACACAATGAAGGCTGCATCCAAAATACTTTTTGACAAGCGTTTCTTATATAAACAAAGCTTTAGAATATTTAGGAAGCATTAGCTAAATACTTTAAGTAGCCAGAATAATAATTTCCTTGCAGAGCTGTCAGTTTGCAAGTGCAAATAAATATTGGGGTGGTGGTGGTGGTTAGCTGGGATTAAGCAGATCACAACCCATTTAAGAAAAAATAATAATGCAGTACGGAAATGCTAATTTATGTGATGGTGCATCTAGTCATTTGGCAGATTCCAAATGACTGGCAAAAATGAAGATTTAAGCAACACGAGTCTAACTTATTTCTGATGTGATCAAAACAAAATATGAAATTGGTTCTCCTATAGGTCAAATAAAAACATAGATATATTAAGGCAATGTCTTTACTAAATCAATTGAATCAAAGGTGCTTTTTTCAAAAGGCAACTGGAGTTTGTTTTCCCTTGAAGATGTTTAACCTCTCATCCAAGAAGCCAGTTGCTTTTTGAAAAAAGTCCAGTTGCCTTTTGAAAAAAAGCACTTTTGGGACAACCTTGACCTAAATGACTGAGAATCTCCATAGATAAATTAATTGAAGTTATTTTAAACTAAAGTACAAAGCTATCCCATTTCTAGCAGGTAAAGTTGCTGAGAATGGGTGATTCTGTGACAATACCCAAAATAATCTGTCAGTGTTGGAAAAAATGGTTGAGACCTTTAATAAGGAGAAAGTTAAGTTCAAGAAAAGCTCTTAAAGAAATTGTTGAAATGCATTGTTAGCAAGTCAGGATTTATTTTATCTGGGCTTTTCCATCTTGGGTTAGAATTCTTATACTTAAGAATTAATTGTTAGTTAATTGTCCTTTTGATGTCAGTGGCTAGGGTTGTGCATAGAATTTAGTTTTAGATTTTCAAATGTTGAAGGTGGATGGAATGAGAGGCATACCTCCAACCATTTTTATTGTAAACTGCTGTCTAAAAATCAACATAAGATGTCAATACAAGAATCAGGGTTTGGGGCTAGTTCAATATTATTAAAAGCTTTTAATTATACAATAAAACTTTCACTTTGTCACTGGACAACATCCTAATTTGATACAAAGGTCAATTCCATTATGCCAATAAATCAAATACATTTTATAGGATAGAACATATGAAGAAGCACCATTTTATATAAATATAATTAATATTTTTTATATTTATTCCCTGCAGATGGTTTGTGAAACCCTAGAAAATCAAAAAGGCATGGTTGATAAACTTGTTGCAGACACACAAGTATTGGAGAAGCATATTTCTGCTGAAAAGTCAAAACTATACAAGCAAGAATTGAAATGTTTTCAAGGATACAGGGACAAATTGAAACTAAAGATTTCTAAAGATGTTCACTTATTGGAAGAAACTGTTTCCAAATTGAGGACATTTGAGGTAACTAGAAATAACTTTTGTTTAACTACTTTCTTGTAAATATAATATTCCTCCTCAAATTAATTTATATTTTGCAGAAAGCTATAATGTTAGCACCTGTTTATATGAATTCAAATGGTATGTCAATTATATGAATCAATCATTCTGCAGCCAGAAGTGATTGCAGTTGACTGGGAAAAATAACAATATGTGGAGAGTCAATCTAAAAACAGAATAAGCAGAAATAAATTATTTTAGTAGCTCTTGAGAAAGTTTAACATTTTATATCTAGTTGGTAACAATGAATGTTGTTTACTGCCTGAAAATATAAAATTTAATGAAAGATGACCTGAATGGTTTCCAACCATTTAATCAACTATTTAATTGAGAAAATGAGGCTTGATTTATTAACTGACATTTAAAACATTTATTTCCTACACGATTGTTTTCTACTCTCTGCTGAGGAATGACAATGAATATTAACTGTTTCTGTAAAACAGGGTTCATGCATGCAGTGTAATGAGAGAATCGATAATAGACTAAAATAATGGTCCAACACCTTTCTGGGCCAGTTGGCACATTTGCAATTATGAAAGCGTGTCATTGGTGCAATCACAGAATAGTTCCAGAGGTCCAGGGCTTCTATATTCACACAGTATTCACACTGCTATATTAGGCACTCTTGATAATGGTGTAACATTAATCATTTGACCTCTAATATGAGTGCACCAGTGGTGGGATTCAATTTTTTTTACTACCGGTTCTGTGAGCTGGCTTGGTGGGCGTGGCAGGGGAGGGATACCGTAAAATCTCCAGTCAGAGGTAGAATTTGCTGGTTGTCTGAACTACTTAAAATTTCTGCTACCGGTTCTCCAGAACTGATCAGAATCTGCTGAATACCACCTCTGGAGTGCATTATTTTTATTTTTGAAGGGTATCTGTGAAGTAGCTCACAGGGGACTCAGAGGTGTTATTTGAAGTGAAGTTCAATGGACTATTTGCGAGATCATATAATCGCATATAATCATATGAATTTGTCTCTCATCAGTTTGATTGGATGAAGATATTAGTAGATATGGAAGTTATGAAACATCAAAGGAAGCAGTAGTTAGAGTGAATAAGAATAAATACCTTTGACTTTGAGAATCAGAAAAAAACATATTTTGGTGAGGACAATACATGGAAAGGGAAAATGGAAACTAATAGGAGAAACAGATGACAGTCAAGATATAAGCAATTAGTGGGGTAAACTAGAGACCTAGAAGCAAATGGTAGAATAACATTCTGACAATATTTAGAAGGGATGGATAAATCCAAGGGTGGGTTTTCAACAACAGGAAAAAATGTGTCTTAAATGCAGTTGAGTCAAAAAGTGAAAAATTAACAGATAGACTTAGGAGAGTCCAGTGCTAATGGTCCATAAGGAGTATTTAACCCTAAAATAATTCTTTTAACACTGTGTAAATATTAGTATATAAAGACCTCCATTCTAAAAATAGAGTAAATATTTTGGGGAATATATAGTATGTTCCATCAGTTTTGGACACACTTCATAAATGAAGCTGAAAAATAATAAAAATTGGAGATAGAGCTAAAAATACAAGAACTGGACAAACAAGGCAGAACATGTCAATATGATCACATAATCATTGAAAACAATGAAAAACACTCTTAAATTCCATCGGTAGCATTTCTAAAATTTCTTACAGTAGCCTAAAATAGCTCAGAATTTAATTCTCAATGTGAACACAATATGTGTCGTTCTGGTGCATGTCTGAGGCTTTAACTGTTGCTTGGAATGAGAGAGGAACAATAGCCCTGGACCGAACTGTACTTGCGTGGCCCTTCTATGTCCTTGTATCCTGGAACCTGCATTGGTTTTCAGAGGAGCTCCAGGAGATGAATTGGCATAAGAAGCACCCATAATCCTGCTGAAGGAAAACAGTGAAACTGGTAAAGTGTGATTGAGAGCCTTTCTTAAGGATTACCTCATGGCAATAAGAGCAGCAAAACTCAGTGATTTTTCTATCTTTATTACATTTATGGAGAACTAGTTGGCAGCCTTGTGTAAAGGAATCTGGTCACTTCTACTAAGGAAGGTCCAGAAGAACATTGCAGGGTATTGTGAGCATTATTCTAGGCATCTGTCAAATAAAGTCCCCTGATTTAATAAGACTCTATGCAGGTCAGTAGTGTTATTCAATGAATCTGTTAACCCTGATAAACTGGAGAAAATCTTTGATACTGTGAGCTCAGAGTTCTGCCACCCAGTCTCCACTAGAGTACTAGCAGGTTCTTTAAGGCAGGAGTACCCAACCCCTGGTCCACGGACTGGTACTGGTCTATGGCCCATTGAGAACTGGGCCGCGCAAGCATCGGGTGAGCACACAAAGTTCCATTTGTGCAAGTGGCGGATACACATGTTAAATCATCCCATGCTGCTGGTCTGGGGAGCTGAAAAGATTGGAGACCACTGCTGTAAGGATTCAAGACAATGACTAAGCAAAATTATAGAGGAAAAAAAGTCCAGATGTTTAGTGAAAGAAAGTATTTACAAAAGAAGGTATACCCTAATGTCCATTCTAAAGCAGACAGGAACTATAGAACCTACATTTGACAGGGCCAGGTTGTATGCTGGATTGTTTGTCTCCATTTATTTTCACCCACCAGATCTAACAGGGTCAACATATTCCACTTACTTCTATGAATGGGAGATGTAAGAAATGTGCTTTATATGTCATGGAACCTGCTGAGCTCCATGAGGTCTGGATGGCCATAACCTAAGGTTTCAAAGTCTTGGCTTTTCCCTGAAGCATTGGGGCCAGATGGTTAGGCGAAGCTAGTCACTTTGCTTGCCTACTATTTGATTTGCAACGGGAAGATTTTTTTTTTTAACTTTAGGCATATTGCATTTGATTTTTATTACAGTTGCTTTTAATCATTTTGGGCTGCTGTTGCTCTTGGCTTTTAACCTATTGCTAGATGCCCGGACTTGCATTTGTGAGATTGAAAGCTGTGTAAATCATTTAAATAAATAATCCTACATAAATGTAATACAAAATTATAATTTTGGTCACATGTTTTTCTAATTTAGTGAAATACGACTCTGGTCCTTGCTCAGTTACAAGGTATGAGTCTAAAGCAAGGGTCTTCAAACTTGGCAAGTTTAAGACTTGTGGACTTCAACTCCCAGAATTCCTGAACTAGCATGACTGGAGGTGGAATTCTGGGAGTTGAAGTCCACAAGTCTTAAAGCTGTCAAGTTTGAAGACCCCTGATCTAAAGAGTTGTAAGTCTACTATTGACGTAACTCTCAGAAATTGTTTTTTCCCTGTTTACTGTAGTTACTACTCTGTATCATCAAAAAAACAATATCTCTGTAGTTGGATTTTTGGTTAACAAGTATTTATATGAACCTAATAAAATGTTATGAGCAGATATTTGCATTTTTAAAATTTACATGGCAACTACTAACAATTGAGTATTTGTCATTTGAGTAATACGTCACATTACAAAACATTAACTTTCCTATATTATATTCAGGCTGATTCAAAAGTAGTTCAGAGGTGGCTGGATTCTGTGAAAGATTTCCTAATGAAAGACCAAATCAAGCAAACAGAACCTGAAGGTCTTCAGAGACAGCTTGATCAATGCATGGTAAGATTCATCAATTTATTATACTATGGCATATGCCCCTTTTGTTTATTCCTTGACTGTATCTAAACATTGTGAAGAAGAGTTCATGAAACTTCTGTTATCAAGGAGCTATTATTGCTACATTTTCAATTTGTGAATGCAGAGTAATAATGCAAATGCAAGATGGAAGAAGGAAGTCTCTTTTTATGTATGTCATAGGTCCGCGATGGCGAACCTATGGCATGTGTGCCACAGGTGGCATGCAGAGTCATTTGTGCGGGCACATGATTCCCAAATAAACTTACCTCACTGTGCATGTGCATACCTCCCAGCTGATTTTCGGGCCTTTTTTGGCCTGCCAGAGTCTTAAGGCCGAAAAATAGGCCCGTTGCCTCACTTCCGGTATTTCCGGAAATACCGGAAGTGATGAAATGGGCCCATTTTTCGGCCTGCAAAGCCTGCAGAGGCATCCCTCAAGCCTCTGGCAGGCCGAAAAAGGCTTCAAACAGGCCAAAAAACAGGTGGGAGGCGCAGTGCAGGTAAGGGGGTGGCGGGGGGGTCCCCCGGGCATGGGGCGGGGGGCAGGGGGGGCTGTGCACATTTCCTCCTGGGTGCTGGCAGGTGAGCCCAAAAAGGCTAGCCACCATGGACGTAGGTGGAATCCATTCAACTATATGTAGCATAGTTCTGATTGGCTATCCAAAGTATCTCACTGATGCTGCCCATAAATATCTTAATTGTTATGAGTACATGTTTAGAAAAAGAATATAGACTTTTTTTTAGCATTTTGTATTTTTATGCTCATTCTCTTTGGCACATCTGGTTACCATCACTTTTTTTTTCTTAGAGGGAAATTTTCCTAAGAAAATCCTCCCCTCCTTTAATTAAAAGCAGTTTATTAGAGCTATTAGATCTTTCTGATCCTAGTCTGCACTTGCAAGGTAACAATAATGATGTAGGTCTGATGAGTGGCTTGACAGATCTGGGCTTGCTTAATTTCAGTTGTACCCGCCTTTGAACCCTGGGGACGCTTGGATCATCTTTTTTTTTTTACAAGCCAAATCAGTTACAGTCTGGTTGGAGAATGTGCTGGAAAAAAAAGTCCCCCTTTGGATGAATTAATGCAATTTTATTAATGTTTCAGAAGCAAGACTTTTAGCAGGGCACCACTAAGCATATGGCAAGCTCTCCACATATAAACCCTAAATATGATGGTATCTTTTCTCTGGGCAGTAAATAGGGTTCTTCTGGTTTCCAGATGCATGGTTTTAATTCATGGGTCTCCAGTATGGGGGCTCACAGAAAGAGAAACATGATTAGTGAATAGCGCATCCATTCTCATCCATACTTTCTTTTAGTTGCTGAAGTCTGCCCTCATTTCCAAAACGGAACTGAATTAGTGCAGTTCTTGTATTTCATCTTGTATTTCATAAAATTGTTTCTTTTTAAATTGGTCAGTTGGGCTGTCACATATCTGGAATCAAAAGTTGAAAAACTGTAGCATACAGATCATCTAATGCTTACTCTATCAAAGATAGGAGTTTTATGATCAGCTGAAACTTGTATCTTTGGAATGAGCTTTCAGGTAGGTCACGATTGTAGCATAGTTGTTGGTATCAGTGCTAGTTTAAATTAGATGTAGCTAATTTTGCAGCTATGTCAGTCACCAAGAATATCATGAATTTTACATGGGTTTGATCAGTATTGAATTTCTCTGGTCACAGGGAGGTAGATAAATCCAATGCTTATTACCTACTTTCTTGTGTTTAATAGACACCTTACTGTTATTATTCACCTTTGGTGTTAAGTGATAGGGATTACTGATGTATATAAATAAATTTATAGTAAAAGAAGTAAAAGAGAAGCTTGTTTTATTTATTTATACTGATCTTTGGATTGTAGCTATTAACTTGGTTAGCATGGTGTTGCAGTTTATTTCTGCTATGTGTGCTGTATGAACACTGACATTTTAAAATGATTTTATCATTAACTTTATCATTAGGCATCTTATGTGCACCCAGAAAAGTTTTCTTTTTAACGAGCTAAGGATTAAGTAACCATTTATCAGTTAAATCTCCTTCCAAGGATAAAAATCCTATCATTAATAAATGGTCATTTTGCCACCAAATTTTAGTGGTTCAATATTAGAGTGTAAAATGTGCTTAAGGAGTTGCTCACCTCTGGTTAATATGATATGAAAAAGCACCTTGTAACCTCATTCAAATAAAAAGACACCTCCCCCCCTCTTTCCCCCTCCCTCCCCTCTCTGTGTGCATGTATTCAGTTGCTTTGTTAATTGTTTTTTTCAAACATAATAAGTCTTTGAAATCCATAAAATGTCTCCGAAATAAGCAACATATCAAGTTGTATCTTTGGAGATAGCTGTTAACATATTTTTTTTCTCATTTATTAACAGCTGTTTATTATTGAAATGGAAAAAATTGAATTGTCTCTAAAAGAGATGAAGGAAATAGAGTCTTCTTTAAGAGGCCAGCCTGTTAATGCTTGGGTGAAATCCAAACTGACAGACATTCAATCCCAGTGGGACAAACTAAGCAAGCAGGTTGGTTCTTGGTACTATTAATCTTGCATTTTCATATCTGTCATTGCACCCAAGTAGTAGCATTGTTACATGCATTGCAGTCATATAATATCAGGTATCCTATTTTATTTTCAACATATAAAATCCCATTTTTACATTTACAAGTGCCTAAATAGAAATACAAACTAAATAAATGCCTTTACATTTCTCTATGAAAAACCATCAATTTTATAATATAACCAATTTAATTTTTAAACTATAGAACTAATGTACTGTGCTATAATTTAATATGGTAAAATGGGATGAATTCCACCTCCCAATATTATTTACTGCTGGATGGCAGTTATACACTAATTCAGCTGGAGGGCTATAAGTTTGTTGTAGTGTAAATTAGGCTCTGGGATGTTTTCAGTTCAAGTTTTATCTTTATCTTGCTAGATAGATGATGCTGTCAGGCTCAAATTCTTATCTGTTTGAGATTCTCATCAGAAAATATATCCAATGAGCTATTTTGTTTTAACTGGTATTGTTGCTGTTTATACTGATAGGCAATTTTCATTATTTGCATATCATCTAAATGATAAGAATATAGCTACATTAGAGCACTTTTTCCTTGCATCCCTTATGCTGTTTAGAAAATATCAAAAAATGACATCATTATTCTTTCAGATTAGTCAGTTTATATTCTGGACTGGATTTGCGAACATACTCAGTAGGAAGAAGTGCAACTGAGAGTGTTAGTAATGGGTTATTCTTGTGTGAAATGCTAGAAATATAAATACTTGTAACAAGTATTTGATTCATTTTTCTTGCAATGTACATTTATATATCCGAACTAGACTGTCTTGTTTCTCTGTGTCATATAATATATGTGGATATGTGGATATATGCATAATATTTATCTATCTATCTATTTAGTCATGTTTATGTAGTGTATATTGGAGGTGGAGACCCTTTGAGAGCTGTAGGCAACGAAATTTCATTTTAATGTATGCTGATTAGTGTGCATTTAAAATGACAATAAAGTTATTCTAAGTCTAAGAATCTAGTTCACTACTGCTAACATACATTATAACCATGATGACCATGATTACCATCACTGCCATAGCCATCATCAGGGGTTTCTTCATTTTTAATGTGAAGAATAGAGCATTAAAAATTAAGTAGAACTGCATTAGTTACATTTGCGTGTTCTTGTAACTATAAAACATTATTTCCTAGATTTCATGTTGACCAAAAAAAAAATTGCAGAATGTTATCTCAAAATAACTTTCACCATTCTGTTGATCGTGTGTTTTTCTTTCATCAGTAGTACAGCACTCTTAAAATAATAACTTTTAACAATGCTGTGCACTTTATGTTGCTTTGTTTGAATTGCTAGATCATTTGCCATAAAAATCAATTATCGGAAAATCAAGAAAAAGCTGTTAATCTCAAAAAGGATTTGACAGAAATGCAAGAATGGATGGCTCAGGCTGAAGAGGAATATTTGGAGAAAGATTTTGAATATAAGAATCCAGATGAGCTAGAGAATGCAGTGGAAGAAATGAAGGTCAGGAATACTTGAAAAACTTAAATTGTATTTTAAAAGTGACGTAGACACTAAACATGGGTGTGTATTAGTTATTGTTGTTAATATTATTACATCAGGATATGCTTTTCTGAAAAGACCAGAGTGATTTGTTTTTTATCAGTTTGAAGCTGACTATCCTTCCTACTTAACTGTTGAAAATGAATTAATCCAAATTATTTACATATTTATAAGACCATATTTTGTCCACTGTCACTACTAGAACTTGCACTGTGTGAAAATATATAAAAACTATTGCATACCTTAAAATTTTATATGATTTAAGGTGCTGCTAATAAGTTTAATATGTTTGGCCATGTATATACTGAATATTTTTTTCTCTGTTAAGCCCAGATTGCTGCATAGCCCTGTCATATACTCTGCAATTTGACCAGATGGCTTCAGGCTACTGCTGTTTGATCAGCAAATACTGGTTGGAGTAGAAATTCCCAATCTTGCTACATAGTGAGATTAGAGGAGGCTGGAGTTTGGAATGACACTTGCTTTAATTTTACAGTGTTAAAATGAATGTAGAATTAGTGGAATTAATAAGAGAATGTAACACTTCAAAACTCTGATAACAATGCAGAGCCCATTTTGGTTATTCTTGAAATTTCAGTGCTGCTGTCTCTTAGCTATAATTTTATATGTGCTTGTGTCCTAATTTAATTCATATCATATGCCTAATTGTAATTTAATAATGGCTGATCAGCTCTCTGAGAAAATACAAAGGATGCATGAGTGGGAGTAAAAAATTACAAATTTTGATATTAACGTACATTTGAAAAAAATATACAGCTATTCTGAATGTAAAGAGTCTTTTTTAATGTTTTGTTCATTTTATGCAGTACAATTTTAGTAAAATTTTGGAACTGACATTCTTAATAGTCTGGCTATCAAACACTAAATCAGATTGTAGGGTTTTTTTTTCAACATTAGAAAATGTGGCAGCGTTTTGAATTGAGTGACAGGATTGCCACTGGCATTTTAAATTATAAAAGGTTTTGTAATTGAGTGCTCTATAGCCTTTGCCAGTCTTGTGCTCCTCAGTTATGTTGACTTTGCAACTGTCAGAATTGCTAGTCAGCATGACCTTGGTGTTTGAAAAATTATTTATTTTGAAACAGTCACATTCAATAGAATAATAAACTTGGTGTAGTACACTTGATTGTAGTAAGATCATCAAAAATTACACCAAGAAATATATGTGACCAGAAAGTGTTTTTTTTAAATGTACTAGTTATTTTGGGCCATATAAATTGGGAATTTTGAGGTAATAATCTTTAAGCATAGTAAGTATCTTGGGATGAGTTAACTCGGTGCAACCAGATTTATATAGATCAGTTTGCAACACAATATGTGTAGAAATGAAATCTATTTGTGCATCAAGGAAGGTCAGAATGATGGTAGGCAACTAGTAGAATAAATATAAATTATATTTACTACAGAGTCCACTGGAGTTGGGTGGCTTATAAATGCAAATAGATAAAACATGATAGAAATTCAAGTGAAGTGTCTTGGGAGCCATGGATTTCATCCCAAAGGTGCTTTTTCAAGAGGCAACTGGACTTTCTGGTTTTTCTTTGAAGACGTTTCGCTTCTCATCCAAGAAGCTTCTTCAGCTCTAACTGGATGGTGGGGAATTCAGTCAGAACTGAAGAAGCTTCTTGGATGAGAAGTGAAACATCTTCAAAGAAAAACCAGTCCAGTTGCCTCTCGGAAAAGTACCTTTGGGATAACCATGACCTGGATGACTGAGAATGTCCATAGACATGGATTGTATCGCTTCTCATGTGCATATGAAATACAGTGTTAACAATTCATTTCAGTATTTTAATTATTAGTTCAGATTCCATTGTTAATATAGTAATTGCAATGGTCATTATTTGCTTCCTCTGGGCAGAGAGCTAAAGAAGATGTGCTGCAGAAAGAAGTGAGGGTGAAAATTCTGAAAGACAGCATCAAAATGCTAGCTGCTAAACTGCCATCTGGTGGTCAGGACTTAACAACGGAGCTCAACCTTGTATTGGAGAATTACCAGCTACTGTGCAACAGGATCAGAGGGAAATGCCACACTTTGGAGGTATGGCCTGCAACCAATTTTTTCTTCCCTTAACATCAATGAGAGGGCTTAAGACATAAGTTTTTACTCCCAAAGTTAAAAAGAAATCATGCCAATGGTATATTTTTGCTCTAGATTTAAAAGTTGGGGATGGGGGCATTGTTAGACCAGCAACTTATTTAATGAACAAACTCAAAACTCTTGTATTATGTACTTAATTCTAGTTATTTTAAAGCTTCCTAGAAAGCCAGTTGACATAGTGCTTAAGGTTCCAGGCTAGAAACCAGGAGACCGTCAGTTTTAGTCCTGCCTTAGGCACACTGCCAGCTGGGTGACCTTGAGCCAGTCACTCACTCTCAGTCCTAGGAAGAAGGCAAGTGCAAACTACTTGTGAAATTTTGCCAGGAAAACTGTAGGCACTTTCCATGACTCAACACTAATTTTAAGCCTCACACATATGTTAACGCTGCTTTTTAAATAGTAAAGGATTGTAGTTACAGCCCATTAGTTAGAATCCATTTCTTATGCAAGTAAAGAACATTCAAATAGTGGCCAAAATTAGTGACAGTGCACTGTTTTTGTTGATTTTAACATGTCAATTAAAAACCAGGGATATATGGATGAGAAATATATCTAATGGAATGCATATATTAAGACTCCATCAATATAGTGATTATTCCTGAATTATATATTGCCTACTAAGTATTTCAGTATATTTAACTTCTACCTGCATTCCTATATTTCCTACAATACTTTTGATAGCAATATGAAATAGCAACTCTGCAGTCAGGCCTCTTATTTAATTCTTTGTAGCTGTAAATCAGGTTAAAGTCAAGTCCTTAAACCCAGTTTTCTATTTTAGTCAATAGTCACATTGGGCAAATACATTACTAGCTTTGGAACAAACTTTAGAATGTGATACGAATCAATTTTGGGTCATGTTTAGTTTAGTTTAGCTTAGTTTACTTTATTATCATTGCACCTCGTACAACAAAACCAAACACCATCTTCAGTGCACATCATGACCATGACCATGAAAATAAACACAAGCACACATCCTTTACCCTTCACACATTGAACCAGAAACCACCGACACCACACCAACACTGCACTATACAGCAAAATTTAAAAGAGCTACTGCCCTGGGATAGAAGGTGTTTTTCAGCCTATTTGTCCTTGTTTTTATTATTCTGTACCATCTGCCAGATGGTAATTGTTCAGTATGAGATGTTCAGTATGAGATGGATCTTTGATAATGTTTTGAACTTTCTTAAGGCAGCGGGAGCTATAAAGCTCTTCCAAAGAGGGGAGAGGGCAACCAATAATCTTCTGGGCAATGACATTAACCCTCTGGAGTGCTTTCCTATCTGCCAGTGATTTTTCTAATTCACCACAAGATGGTGAACTAGAAAATTCTATATTAATGATTCAGATAAAGAAGTATAGAATATGTGTAAGCAGAATACATTTTTGTCTGTTAAGTTAGGAAACTATTACTGGCTATTGTCTTCAAATATATTTTTTTCATGTGGCATCTAAGTTATACCCATTGTAATATACTGTCCCATTGTTTTGATATTGTATATAGTGCAAACATCTGGAATTGGCATTGGAGATACAGTAAGTGAGTTGAGCCAGTGAGAACGCTGAGGCTGAGTGAATTGAAAGTCTCATTGTTAGGCAATAACTGGTAAATTATCTGGAGTAGTTTTATAAATTGTTACTGTTGATGAATAATATACTCTGGAAAATCTACATAAAGCTTAAGAAATAAATATATCACGTGACTGAGAAGAACCAGCCTCTGAAATAGAATGAGCCTTTTCTTCTTTCATATATTCTTTCCCTTCAGGAAGTATGGTCTTGTTGGATTGAACTGCTACACTATCTGGACCTAGAAACAGCCTGGCTGAATACTTTGGAAGAGAAAATGAAAACAACTGAACACTTGCCAGAGAAAATAGATGCTGTCAGTGAAGCCCTTGAGGTACAAAGGATAGTCTGTAAAAATAGTTTATGCAAATGAGTTTGGCATTTTTTTAACTGAAGATTCCCCCCCCCCTCCTATATTTAAATACAATGAAAATTCCTCATTTTGCATAATATTTAAGTAATTGTAGAAGTGGACAGAACTCAGACTTGTTGAGGGGGGGCGGGGCTGGTTGCTTTCATTCAAGATGCATCAATGAGGCCCATATGAAAAAAAAAATCTTATTTAAGCTAAAAGAAATCCAGGTGTCTGCAGTCTCTGATCTTTGATCAAAGATCAAAAAAGTGCAAAATATCAGATGCAGCATCCCTATGTAGACTCCCCTCTTTTTCTGAATGTGTGTTTGGTGCCTGCCATCTTTTCTTTTTCTTTTTTTTACCCTCACACTCTTAGTAGACACTTCTGGGTGTCTAAACATATTTTGAAACATTAGTATTTTTGGCTTCAGTGTTGTTAACAAGAAAGGTAAACCAGAAACCTTTATTGATCTGCTATATAACAAACGGTGATCTTGCAAAATATTCCAACTTTTGTTCTGCGAACTACTTTCCTAATTCTTTGAAACATGACAGTGAAGTACATGAATAAAAAAGAAGAATTAATGATACAGTAACTTTTGTTTTGAGACAAAAGTTTTCTAAGGACATTTTAAATCTTGGTGATTATATTGACTAATTGAAATTCTTTTAACTTGCTTTGACCGGCACATAATGCATATAAAATAAACTTGGCTTCTATTGTTCAGTAGTTCACTGGCATTTAGAGTAGGCTATGGCAATATGTTCTACATAGATCTTTCAAAAACTGTAGTTAGAATATATTAGCCAGGCAACTGTTGATTATCCACAGTTAACTGAAGGATTTCTAGTATATGTCTGTAGTTACTTCAGAGTGACAGTTTTTCCTAAATGTTCCATGTGCAGGAAATTTGAGGCTGAATTTGCTCTTTGACCCTTCATATCTGTTATGATCAGCTCAGGCAGAAATATGGGATTGGGAATGCCAAAATTTACTGCTGCTAGATGGCAGCAAAGAGATATATAAAGTTCTTTGTGCTGCCATCTAATGGTCTTCTGGATTTTTGCAGTCTAGTACTGGTAACCCTGACTAGAAGAGGCCCCAGGTCTGCTTCCGTCGTACCTGGAGATTTCACAAACACCACCACTTTCTGCTATAGAATGCATTCCCATTGGTGATGCTGTCTTCCTTCCTTTTTATTGTCTGAAGACATTAAAAAAAAAACTAATATTTTTTTCAAGTTTGGGTTTACATTGCACTGATTCTGCTGTCATTTACTAATTTTATTTCCTCTTGCTCTTTTTGTTTTGGTAGAGTTCTTGAGTTTTTTTTTTATGGGTCCCACTGTTCTGATATATTTGTCTGTAATTTCCATAACTATTTTAGGGTGATAAGATGCCATATGTTTCATTGTTTTCTTAATGGCAATGTGAGTCCTCAGACACTGTAAATTTATGCTTTTTGTGAATGATATTTTTTCCAGTTTTAAAATGTCAAGAGTGCTGCATTCAGTATGTTAGAAAATAAGTGCCTACATTTTGGTTTAATTATTTTCTCATTAGTCACTGGAATCTATTCTGCGCCATCCAGCTGACAATCGGACTCAAATTCGGGAGCTTGGTCAAACACTGATAGATGGAGGCATCCTTGATGAAATCATCAGTGAAAAGTTGGAAGTTTTCAATGCCCGTTATGAGGAATTAAGTCATGTGGTATGATATGTAACTTTGATGGAATGAAACATTTGTTTTTACTGCTGTCAGCATCCACAGTGTACAGTTTTGAATGATGCTCTTCAGTAGAAAGGTGCTCTTCAGTAGCTTATAGAAGTAAGGGCTACCCTATATTAAGGTCAGATGTGCATAATTATGGCAACACTACCTATATCTTGCATTATGGTCTGTCAGAAGTTTGACAACTGCCCGACCTACACCATAAATTGGATGGCTGAGTGAATTCTTGAACAGATCCAGATTCAGCTTAGTAGATCCTACATTTTTGTGTAGGTGAGAAACAGAATTATGATGCCAAGTCATGGGGTTACATTCCTCAAAAAAATAACAATTTAGAAATGCAAATTTAAATCATGATTACTATAAATGATGCAAATGATCTCTACCAACAAAGATCCATCCCGCATAAATGTGTAAAATGACTGGACATCTGATTTTATATTTTAAAAAAGATTGCAGTATAATGTGCAGATTTATATGGTTCAGATTATAGAATACAGAGTAAAGCCATAGTAGTTTTAAAAGTTTCCTCGCTACCTTGGAATGGGAACTCCTTTTTGGCCTTGAAAAATACAGGACAGAGGATCTTGCAAGGGTCAAAGAGCTGAACTGATAGTCATTTAGAAACTGTTGTTGTTTATGAGGATTGATGGATTCCATCATGATTTCAATGATATTAATATGTCCTCTGGAAACTTCCATAAGTTTTAATAACAAATGTGAATGCTGAAGTCAGTGATTCTGACTTAAGTTGACATGCTAGGAATCTCTGAATTATGTGCCTTTCAGCAAGAATCCCTTGACCACAAGAAAGTAATATTTCGCTGCATTGTTGACAATCAGAAAATAACAGCATAGTATAAGCAGTTCTGATTTACTATTTTTGTATTTATATTTAGGTTTATATACAGTTTGAAAGTTTTCATGCAAAATATTTCTTTGTCTCCCCTTAGGCAGTCAGTAAACAGATTTCTTTGGAGCAACAACTTCAGATGATGCGAGAAACTGAGCACATGTTGCAGGTTCTTCAGGAAAGCTTGAAAGATTTGGATAGGCAGCTAACATCCTATTTGACCAATAGAATAGATGCCTTCCAAATGCCTCAAGAGGCACAGGTATTTCTTCCTTTCCCTTTCCCTTTTCCCCTTCACATTTCCTTTCTTTTCTTACTTACCCTTTCTCTTTCCCTTTCCCCTTTCCTTTCTTACCTTACCTTACCTTAAAAAATACTTTGTAACATGGTTTTTGAGTTGTAAGATAATTAAGGGAATATGTGCTCTATGAAGAGATGCTGATGGTGTCTTGCACTAGAAAATCTTCAGTAATCTCTTGATTGTGAAATAAGCAGCCTATCCCTGAAATCAGCATTGAGTAAAGTGGATGTTATACTCTTTATAACACATTTTAGTTGTATGATTTATTGGATAGACAGATTGATATCTGCTATGTCCTTTTTTCTCCATATTCTATAATGAATGGCAGAAAATCCAAGCTGAGATTGCTGCTCATGAGTCCACTTTGGAAGAGCTTAGAAAGAATGTCTATTCTTTAATGCCACCTTCACCAGAGTGTCGATCTCCCCGTGGTGGGACTCATTTGGATGTCTTGCAGGTAAATATTTCAAAAGAATCAAAGACCTGAATGTGAATCAAGGTTTTCCCCACACTGCTAATTAATTTCTCAGTGTTTGCAGAGTTGTTGTATTAATTTCAAACGCAGTGTTGTCAATAGAAACTGTGATAATTTTACATACTATAAAGTTTATTTGTCACTTCTGTTCTTTTATACTTTCATTTTCTCCAGTCTTTTCAACTCTTATAGGCATATCTTTGAAAAAGTAGGCTAATACTTTTACATACTTCTGAAAGCTCTTATTTGTGAAATATGCTATAATACACTTTTCTTATATCTTTGGGCAATTGTTAAACATTTTAATAATTATTGGCATCCTTTTTCCAATATTTTATATGAAAAGAGTGGGGGGGGGACTTGAAGAATCTATATCTGTTGAACAGGATGGATATTAGCATTGCAAATAGGTAGAGTAAATATTTGAGGAATAGATAATACTAAGATTATGGCATTTGGCTGGCTTATCAGAAGCACTCCTTAATGACTGCAGAAAACTAAGCAGAAGTGCCCAATAAATCCCCTAAAGAGGGGGAAAGAGAAAGTAGTTGTTTCAAAACCGAGATTATGAAGAGTGGAGTCTAGACAGAGGCATTTCACAATAAAGTGAACAGTGAGAACGATGCACTGGAGCATAGCAAAGAGAAACCAGGATAGAAGGGTTGAGTTTGGAGTTGATAAGGAATTAAGTGGCAAACTTGACAGCCTTGATTTTGAAAGGTAGAAGAAGAAGAAAAATGCAGTACTAATTAGAGATGAGGAATCCTTTCAAGCAAGAAGATTTTTGATATTCTGGGAAGTATTATAAATTCAGGACATGAGATGGTGTTTAAATCCCATTTTGTGAATTCTCTGATTAGTTAGCTAGAGGGAGAACTGATTAGTTCATGGTGTTCCATGTCTGGTTTTGTCCTTTGGGATTGACAGAAGTGAAGAAAATTTGGAAACTGAGTACACACTGTACCTTTGAAATTCTCCAAACATAGTCCTAGACAAAATTTCTTTATGGTTTTTTATCTTGTTTTTGAAAAGTTGATTTTGTCATGTGTAAGTGGAAAAGATAAGATCTCAGATTTAGAGTTAAATTATTCTGTAAGTTAAAAAAGAGGGAAATATGGTTATAAGGAGAGGAAATCCATAATGATATATAAAAAAGAAAGAAATACTGCACCAGGAGAGTAAGATATAAATTATAAATAAGAACAGTTAGTGGAAAGATTTTTCATTCTAAGGGTTCAAATGTGTCAAATTTTTGCTTTCTTACATAAACAGAGAAAGCTCCGGGAAGTATCTACGAAGTATCAGCTGTTCCAGAAACCAGCAAATTTTGAGCAGCGTATGCTGGATTGTAAACGAGTTCTGGATAGTGTAAAAGTTGAACTCCATATCTTGGATGTGAAGGATATTGATCCGGATATCATTCAGTTTCACTTTGATAAGTGCATGGTAATATAATGCTATGATTAAATTTTCCTAATTTCTCTCTATGAAACTTTGTTTGCTTCTTTACCTCCATGGCAGTGAACTTTCTAGTACCTTGACAGTTGACATTCACAGCAGTGGTAGAAAACATGAATGAAAGGAAGAGACTTTGCGCCTTGAGATAAAAGAATGGTTTTCACTCGTATTATCAGAGTACTATATGTTCTAAGAGCATGATTTTATTCTCCAATTTAATAGCAATTGGAGCTACATTTGATATAGAATCTCATCAGTATAAGGGGCTCAGTGGCTAAGATGCTGAGCTTGTTGATCAGAAAGGTTGGCAATTCGGCAGTTCGAATCCCTAGCACCGCGTAACAGAGTGAGCTCCCGTTACTTGTCCCAGCTTCTGCCACCTAGCAGTTCGAAAGCATGTAAAAATGCAAGTAGAAAAATAGGGACCACTTTGGTGGGAAGGTAACAGTGTTCCGTGCGCTTTCGGTGTTTTGTCATGCCAGCCACATGACCATGGAGATATCTTTGGACAGCACTGGCTCATCAGCTTTGTAACAGAGATGAGCACTGCCCCCTAGAGCCAGAAACGATCAGCATGCATGTGACTGATCACAGTCTCAAGATCTTTTTTATATTGCAGTGACCAAAATTGGATGCAGTGTTCCAAGTATGTCTTATCAAGGCCTTATAGTGCAGCACTAACTCTTCACATGATCTTGATTCTGTCCCTCTGTTAATGCAGCCTAGGATTGCATTGGGTTTTTTGGCAGCTGGAGTACATTCATGGTTCTTATTTAAGTGATTTTCCACTAGGACTCCAAGGTCCCTCTCACAGTTCCTGTTAGTGAGCCAAGTTTCACCTGATCTGCACCTGTATGTTTTGTTTTTCTTGTCTAAATGTAAAACCTTACTTTTCTTTCCATTGAATTTCATTTTGTTAGATAGGGCCCAGTGTTCAAGTCTGTTGAGATCCATCTGGATCTTGATCCTATCTTCTGGGCTGATGGCTATTCCTGTCAGCTTGGTGTCATCTATAACTTTGATGAGTTCCTGGTCTATTCCCTCATCTAAAACATCCGTACTGCAAATATGAAATCTCCCATTAAAGTGCGATCAGTGTAAGTCAGATAAAAAATGAGCAAAGTCTTAGCAAGGTGAAGTGTTTTTTTTAATCATGGAGTTATTTCCATTGTACTCGGGCTATATTCAGACATCATTACCAGCCTTTGAATATGCTGGGAACTTGGGTGTTATTTTCCCTCTTAACTCTTCTCTTTTGTTCTAAGCTGCCATATGATCTCCCATGGTAACTTCTGTTTGCTATGATGTTGGGGGAATTTTTGTTATTTATTTTCTAAATAGAAACCATTGCTCAGAATTGGGTTACTGACTAATTTGAATCTAGGTATAGTTAATATTTGTCCTTAACTGTAGCAAACTGGGCACCATGGAATGGGGATTTGGTATGCATAAAGATGATAATGTGGTTCAATTCTGATGGTTATTGAAAAGTAAAATTAAATCTGGAAACTGAAATATTGTACTTTAATATAATAAAACTATATGGTGTCCTGATTCTAGAAACTCTATAAGACCCTGAGTGAAGTAAAGCTTGAAGTGGAGACAGTGATCAAAACAGGGAGGCAGATTGTACAGAAGCAGCAGACAGACAACCCCAAAAGCATGGATGAACAACTGACAGCACTGAAATTCCTTTATAATGATTTGGGAGCGCAGGTTAGTCTTTCCTATGTACAGTTTTGTTTCACTGTGTAAAATCCACTTGAGGTGAATTTCAAGCATTTCATTAAATATTATGTGAACCTGACTGGTTTTGGATGATTTACTATTAACAAGTTAAATCTGTAGTGAGAATCTATAATGGTTTAAACCAGAGATGAAAATATGTGAATTTCCACATCAATACTATTATCCTGTAGTCGTGGTTGATGAGAAATATAGTCCAGGCTTATCCAGGGTAACTCTGTTTTGAGATATGATAAAAAGAAAAAAAGCAACATACACATATTTTTGGAAAATAAAATAAATGATCTAAGAGGTGGTTTCTTGACAGATCATATTTTCCTTCATGAGCCCATCTGTCTTGTAGAATTGTCATTGAATGCCTTTTCCTTATCCATTTTCCTTCATAGATGTAGTTGACTGATGAGGACAAATTCTTTTTAGAGGCAAGTAACCATAGCCAAAATAGAGGTTGTGGAATAATACTACATTTAAAAGGTGCTTTAGCTGCAATTCCAAAAATCTGGAACACTGCTTGAAATCCGTTAGTATTGACAAAATCCCCACCAGTCAATTGCAAATAACAGTTTTATTTGGAACAGCTTACATCATATGAAGCAGTGGTGGGTTTCAAATCTTTTTACTACCAGTCTATGGGTGGTTTGGTAGGCATGACAGGGGAAGGATACTGTAAAATCTCCAGTCAGAGGTGGTATTTGCTGGTTCTCTGAATTACTCAAAATTTCCACTACGGGTTCTCTAGAACTGGTCAGAACCTGCTGAATGCCACCTCTGATATGAAGATATCATTAACACCATTAAACAGCAACATCTGTCTATGCAGGGTCCTTGGGAAGGACTTGATAGGTAAATAAAAATGCCAGTCCCATCCAAACATCTGTTCACGGTGTGACCCACACATAATATTGATCAAGTAATTGAGTAATTGAGTAATTTTCTCAATTGTTTGTTCTCGATGCTCATTCTTTTTATATACTTTTAAAAAAACCAAAACAACAGGTGACAGAAGGAAAACAAGATCTAGAGCAGGCATTGCAACTCTCATGCAAATTCAATGAAGTCTCCCACTCCTTATCCAAATGGTTAGAGGTGACAGAAGCTGAACTGGTGCATAAGTCCACGTCAGAACGTACACTTTCTGATCTGGACACTGAAATTGCTTGGGCGAAGGTAAGCAGCCTGTCCTTAGCCTTCTTAGTTTGCATCTCATTTTGATACTTGTTGTTATAGTTCTCATTGTTGGACAAAAATCAACCTTTTTAACCTGGAACCTAGCTTAAATATTTGAATCCAGCAGATGGAGTTCATTCAGTGATTTCAAATTTAGGTTAATCCACCTGGATTTTTCTTCTGGTTTTATGAGGGAATCTATCTGGAAGCATATTCTATATTGCATCCAAACATGTCACATTGAGTACTGCAAGGAATTAGAGACTTCCTCCAAGAGATTTAGTCTCCTCTCCTTTCGTGTTATAGGGAAATTTCTGATGCTTTTGTATTATATGCCTATGCATTATTTTTAAAGAAAGCAATTTTGTAATATGCATGCTGCTCAAATGCATTAATTATATTAATATTTTAGAAGAGGCCACTAAATATTGAATTCAACTTGACAGACTTCACTCATTTGTTTGCCATTTGTAAATATTTTAAAACTTTTACCATTTCAAACAGATGAATTCTACCAACAGAATTAAAAAATTAACAGATCCAATGCCCTGTACTTAGTTCTTTTTCTATTAATGTAATGCAGCTGTTGGCTTCTTGGAACGTAATTGCTTGTTTTAATTATTGATTGCTATTTTAAAAATGTCATGGTTAGTCAGTTCTTTGACTAATTGAGTGCAAAATGTCATTAGCCTGCTAGGAGGAGGTTTGTGGGCCTGAGACTAATGTTGAAAATGAAACAATATAATTTCCGTGTATTATTTATTCTGAACAAAGAACATGCATGAATATATAAACTAAAGTGAAAAAGGGCACCAGGTGGCTTCCCACTGAAATAGGAAATTGTAGGAATAATTCTGCATGTTATTGCTATAAAGTGAATTCTATCATGAAGAAAAGTGTATATCCTACCATAAAAAATATGCATGTGAGAAAAAGCTTGGAGATTCTTGAAGAGAACTCTAGAATTAAATGTAGATTTTATATTTTAAAACATTTTTTGAGGTTTGTGTAACTCTTCCTCTTTTTGTGGATTGGCATTGGAAACCTCAGCAACAAACCATAGCTGTCCATGTTATTCAAATATGACAGATGTTATATTCTGTGGAATACTTATTTTGTCTTCAAAACAGTGTTAGTGTGCTCTTGGTTTACAGGAAAGTGATAGTTTCAAATCATAATTTTCTGGGCATTTATTTTGCTGTTAACTAGGTCCAGAATTTTTACACCCTAAATAACAGAGGGGGAAAGCAGAAATCTATATGAGCAAAACATTTGTAAGGCTAAAATTATACTTTACTATTGCATTAGATTACTCATTGCATACATCTTTCTCTGTTAAAATAAGAACCATTTAAGAAAGTGAGACTGATTTATTAGTAAACAGCTACTTAAACTGCTATAAGATCATTTAAAGAATAGTAAAAATATTTAAACAATTTTTTTTCCAATTTATGAAAAATATATTCCCTGAAAAGCAATCTTAATGTTTCCCTTTGAAAGATATGTAATTCCCCAAAGTTGCAAAAAAAAGCTTTGTGGAATAAAGTTACTTTATTATCAGATTGCATAATAACTGCAATTTGCATTGATCTGACATGTCATAATAGATTTTGCAAAGTCAGTTACAGAATGTAATTGAAACAAAAAATAGAGCATTTAAAACATAACCTTACCAGTTACTGAGACTAACATTTCTTTGAAAATTTTCTATTCTATGACTTCCTGAATTTTAGAAGATCTCTTGCTTTGGATTCCTTTAGGTATTATATATCATATCATATATTTGGATTCCTTTCAGTATCATATATCATTGCAGGGATATGCCATTCATTGGGAAAACTGATCAAGCTAGAAACCAAACCAATAATAAAATGTTTGGTTCTGTCACTGTGAGAAATTTTATTCTGTTCTGTTAATGGTCCCAATTACCTTCCAGAATGTGCTGAGAGAATTGGAGAGGAAGAAAGTAGATTTGAACAGTGTAACAGAAAGCAGTGCTGCACTGCAGGCCTTAGTGGATGGAAGTGAAACTCCGCTGGAGGAAAAACTCTGTGTTCTTAATGCAGGATGGAGTAGAGTCCGGACCTGGACCGAAGATTGGTATAATACACTTCTGGTAAGTTAAAACTTGTAGAATTATTTTATTTATTTATTTAATTTATATTGCGGCCTATTCATCATGGCGGCTCGTGGCGGCTTACACAATGTAAAAACCATATTCAAAACAAAATAAAAATAAAAAAACAATAAAAACTAAAAAAAGAATCAAATAAATTAGTAAAGTACAATAGAACAAAATTTGGGAAAACAAAAAACAAAACAAAATAAAAAACAACCCCTCCCCCCCCAAAAACCCAACTCTCACCCCCCCACCCCTGTCAGAAATGGTGTAGGGTCTCCCGCTTGGGCATGGGGTGGACTAGATGACCTACAAGGTCCCTTCCAACTCTGATTATCTGTTATCTGCCCCGATGACAGCAGATCACACTAGCCATTTGATGGACTCCATCCCTCTCTGGGTTCCCCAGGCCCACTGGCAAAACTAGGTCTTCAGTGCCTTTTGGAAGAGTGCTAGAGTGGTGGCCATTCTAATCTCTGGGGGAATGATATTCCAGAGAGAGGAAGCCACCACAGGGAAGGCCCTTCTGGATCCCACCACGTGTATCTCCCTCAGGGTTGGGACCTGCAACATTCCCTGCTTCCCCGCTCTAATGGGTTGGGAAGATGTGATTGGCAAGAGATGTTTCTTCAGATAACCTGGACCCAAGCCATGAAGGGCTTTAAAGGTGACAACCAGCACCCTTGAATTGCACCCGGAAGCAAATCGGCAACCAATGCAGCTCCTGCAGGAGAGCGGGGTCTGCACAAAACCATGCGGGCTGCTGCATTTTGCACCAACTGGAGCTTCTGGATGCTCTTCAGTTAATTATCTGTATGGCTTTGGATAGAGTAATATGCATTGATGATGGTCTTATTACTGTTGAAGTAGGAAATGTTTACAAATGGCAAGTTTCCTTTAAGGAGAGAACATGCTTATTCAATTGAATGCCTCCAAGATATGTTAAATTGGAATGTCCCATGACCAGGCCAGCTAGGACAATATGTCTAGAGAGTCTTTAGGCTGACCTGTTAAATGGAAAAGTGTATCAGATGATGAAGTTTGACAGCTGTTCCAGAAATAGTAAAATATATTGAACAATTTGATAGAGTTGCTTCATAACCAGGAAGGATCAAAATCTTTTATTTGAAGCTTTAGCCCAAGAATAAATACTTTAAAAATAATTATTGCAAAAGAGAACTCATGGAAATATTCTTTGAAGTTAATTTAAATAAACCATACCCATTATCAGTGCAATAATCATAATAACAATTGCTCTTACAAAACTTAAAACACAGAAATTGATGTAATGGGCTCTGAGAATAATCTTGAAGAAGAGGATGAAGAACTGCAGCCAAGGTAATGGTCAAATAAGAGAAATCTGAGCCTGGAGCTGGAAGGGAATTTGAGAAAGTGTTTCTGACTTGGCCATTCAGGGCAGGGAGAAGAGAGGAACATTCAGGGGAGCAAGATTTTATAACTGTAATCCTATAGTCAAATGTCTTTTTAGTATGCATGAGTTAGATGTTCAGGTTTGTTCTACCTTGAAGGACTGCCATCTGTCTTGCAACTCTGAATGTGCCTCTCACTTCATTTGTCTTTATCTTATAGGTAGGCCTTAGCTTATGACCATAATTGAGCCTGAAATTATGGTGGCAAGTTGAGGCAGTCAAGAGTCACCAAGTGACTGTGCCCAATTTTCCACCTTTTTTGATAGCAGTCATTAAGCAAAAGCAGCCGTTGTTAAGTGAATCCATTTTTTCAATGGGCGTTTTTTCCAGAAACTGAAAGTATGCTGGAAACCGGCAAAAAATACTGAAAATTACAATCATGTGACAGCAGGTTACTACAAATAGCTGTAAATACAAGCTGGTTACCAAGTGCCCTAAATGCAAGATGTGGCCACGATCTCCCTTTCTCTCCTTCTCCCCTTCCCTCTCTCTTCCTCTCACTCTCCCTCCTCTCCATCTCCATCTATATATCTAAATTCAAATCTCTATATAATTTTTATCTCTCCATCTCCATCTCCGTGCGTGTGCAGATGTGTGTGCATGTCAGGTGAAATTCTATTTTTTTTCCCATCGGCTCTGTGGGCATGGCTTGGTGGACTCAGTCTCTAAAAGGAAGAAGGCGGGTGGGCGTGGGTGGGGCCAACCAATTCAAATTGTCACTACTAGCTCTTCTGAGGTGGTGCGTGGTGGTTGAATTTCACCCCTGGTGCATGTGTGGGAACAGTATTGGAACTTTTGTTGTAAAGAAATTCTCTGGAACGAAGACAGTGTATATGTCGTCTTGAGTTTTGGAAAAAAAACAACAAGATACAAATCTAGTGACTAAAATTATAACAAATAAATACCAAATTATTCTTAGGTCTTGGCACTATGGAGCTGAAAAAAACAAATGAAAGACCACTGTGAATGTTTTCTGTTAAAATAGCTAAATTTTATTGACATTTAAGATATGTTTCCATTGATTCATCTTTGTCCTTCATTTACAGAATCACCAAAGTCAACTGGAGATTTTTGATGAGAACGTTGCCCACATAAGCACTTGGCTGTACCAAGCTGAAGCTCTGTTGGATGAAATTGAGAAAAAGCCTGCCAACAAGAAAGAAGAGACAGTGAAGGTAGCAAAATTTTACTGATATGGCTTAGACAGTAATAACATATTTTGGATCCAAATGAAAGTCTGCCAGGTTCTGAGGTTAATTTCTGTCTTGTTTCCCTTCCTTTGCTTTTTTAATCCTACTGTGATCTAAACAATAACCCTATTTTTTTTTCCCCATTCACAGCGCCTAACATCAGAATTGGATGCTGTTAGTCTCAGAGTTGATAATGTACGTGACCAAGCTGTTATGCTGATGAGCGGTCGTGGCGTATCATGTCATGAGCTTGTAGAACCCAAATTGACTGAACTGAATAGGAACTTCGAAAAAGTATCACAGCACATCAGAAGTGCCAAGGTGAGTACAGAAGACTTCCTGGTCCTAAGTGTATCTATACTGGCCTATTTTTACATTTATACTGCTGATTTTTACTTCTCTAATGGTTCTGTGAAATGCATGTTACAGCATTGCATTTTGTCAAAGGGAACTGCTTTCTAATATTTCATTGCATTTTTGCATTTTTAGGAGATAATCTCCTTGTGCACATGGCTGCACAAGGACAAAAATATACAGATAGTCCTTGTTTAGCAACTGCATTTGGGACAAGCTAGTTTCGTGGTTTGGGGAAACCGTCTCTAAATGAAAGAGTACAATACTTCAGCTTTCCTTTGCTTTATGGACATGTAAAAGCCATAAATGCAAGAGTTGGACACTGGTTACTTTTTTCAAAACTTTTGTAACTCTGAACATTTATTGTATGAAGCAGTTGATAAGCAAGGACTACTTGTATTAGTTCTGCCCTACTTTGAGTGGGACAGCAATATCTCTTCAACAATACTTTTAAAACAAGAAAAAGAAAGAAGATAGTTATTTAATTTTTAAAATGTTAAAATACATGCTGTCCAAAACTTCTTTTCTCTTCTCAGTCATGAAAAGCACATAAAGTAATATATTCTGGGGGGGTTTGCCGAATCGTTTTATTTTACATGTAATTCTGTTTCTGCACTAGCCTACTAGCTAACTGCAAAAGATAATTTCTTAGTGTCAGTTTTGGGGACGAGAAATTCTACAAGGTTATTTATTCATTTACAATTATACTGTTCCAGTTATGTGATATGTATACAAATATATTGACTACTGATCAGGATGCTTGCTATTTTTGTGTGTGTCAGATGCTGTTCAGTCAGGATGCTCATAAAAGGTTTGCTAAGCAGGAGCTCTGTGGAATTGCAGTGGCTTCTAAAGACCTTGATAAATTTGAATGCGAGATAAAGGAAATGCTGAACATGGTGGAAAAGCACATGGAATCAAAAGAAGATGATGAAAAGGTTGGAGAATTTCATGTTAAAACAAAACTATCATACTCATCCTTACCTTTTCTTTCTCCCCTCCCCCCTTTAATTCCCAGGCATGTTTTTTTAAAAAAAATCTGAAATCCTGTGACCTAAAGGTTTATTGACGAGTTTGTAATTCACTTGCTGCATGCAATAGATATTGATGTTGCTTGTACCAGCTGTTTCACCGTTGTGGTCTTCTTGTACATTCAGTTCTACATGTGCAAGGGATTTGTCTTGTTTTATTATGATAAAATGTATAGTTGTGTCATCTTTGAAATCATGCATTTGGATGCTCCTAGGCATTGTAGGAGATATTCAACAGTGATTTTCCCTAGCTGCTGTCGCTGTATCATAGCCCTGGCTTACTTCTGCAACAAAGGAAATTTGTTTGGAGGAGATATAAATATAGATACAGAACACTCATTATTATTTTAATGCTTGGTGTCTTGGTTGAAAACTGTTCGTTTTGCGTTGCCGTACAACTAAATTTTGCAAAGCCAGTAATTACAATGACCTCCTAATGAATTCACAACAAAATATGAATTCGCTGATACTGTATGGAGGATAAAACTATTATAATTGGAGTTCTGCATTCTTCAAAAAAGGATTCTGAGAAGGTACTTCCAAACTCATGCAACAGAACACCTCTCTGTTATTGGTGCCAACCCAAAGAAAGGTGATTTCTTTATGGGATTAATACCTTTTTATTTTTCACTTTGTGCACAGCGTGAATAGCAGAGAGGCCTGCTGCACTTTCTCTGAATAGTGTTTAAGCATGCATAATCATGCTATACATGTTTCTCTGTATAGTCTTACTCCTTGGGAGTAACAAAAGCCAGTTGCCCCAAGTAGTCCTAAAAATATGTCCTTCTTTCTAAAATTGTAGCTGGATGAAGAAAGAGCTCAAATTGAGGAAGTTCTGCAAAAAGGTGAGCATTTGTTACAGCAGCTCATGGAAGATAACCGGAGAGAAAAAATTCGTTTGCAGCTCCTCCTCCTTCAGACCAAGCAAAGCAGTGCAAAGGTCAGTGAAAGTAGCCTTGCTGTGCAGTAGATCTATAATGTTTTAGTCGTGACTTCTTTCTTCCCACAGAAGCCTTATACACACCTGAAAAATTTCACTCTTGTCGCTGCGACATATAGAACCCACCTTATTGCCTTTTCTTGTCTACTATCATTATTTGTTTACTTGTAGCCCCTGACTTGTAAACATAATTGAGGCCAAAATTTATGTCGCTAAGTGAGAAATTTATTAAGGGAGTTTTGCCCCATTTTGCGACTTTTTTTGCCACCTGTATGAAGGGAATCACTGCACTTGTTAAATTAGTAGCACCGTTGTTCAGTCAATCTGATTTTCCCATTGACTTTGCTTGTCAGTGGGTAGCAAAACCTACATGACCCCAGGACACTGCAAATGTCATAAATATGAACTAATTGCCGAGCGTCTGAATTTTGATCATATGACCATGGGGATGTTGCAGTGTGAAAAATGGTCATAAGTCACTTTTTTTCAGCGCCGTGGCAACTTTGAACAGTCACTAAACGAACTGTTGTAAGTCGAGGACTGCCTGTATTAAATTTATATGCTATCCATCTCAATATCTCTATGACTCAGGCAGCTTATAATGCAGTAAAAATATAAATGTAAGAAGAATTTTAAATATAAGATGATTTAAACATTACAAGTATTAAATGTAGACTAAAAACAAAAGGCTTGAGCAAAATGGAAATGGTGTTTTTATGTCACTGCACCAACCATCTCCAAACTGGAGCCTCCCTATTGGAGCCCCAAATCATCCAGCAGATCCAGGTCTTAAGGCACTTCCAGAAGGCTGCGGGTAGATCTCATCTCTGGTGGCAAGATGTTCCAAAGGGCAAGGGCTAAGACAGAAAAGGTTCTTCTCTTAGACCAGAGGTGGGGAACTACGGCCCTCTTATGACTTGTGGACTTAAAATTCCCAGAATTCCTGAGCCAGCATGGCTGACTCAGAAATTCTGGAAGTCAAAGTCCACAAGTCATAAAAGGGCCATAGTTCCCCACCCCCATCTTATAGAACCTTAATTATTAATTTTATAACCTTTCTTTTTGGGTTGTAGGAGCTTCGGTCATTACAAAGGAGGCAGGTATTAGAACTTTCACCTTCCCTTACTCCATATGAAATGGAAGCAGAGAGTCACTTGCAGTGGCTTAGTGAAACAGATACAAGCCTTTCTGGACTTCAAGAAGCAGAAGAGAGGGAGAAAACAAAGGTAAGTTATTTTGAATACAAACCACTCATTTATGTAACAGGAACTGGGCATGGCTAGTCTAGCGAAGAGAAGGACCAGGGGAGACATGATAGCGGTGTTCCAATATTTGAGGGGCTGCCACAGGGAGGAAGGGGTCAAGCTATTTTCTAAAGCACCCAAAGGCCAGACAAGGAATAATGGATGGAAACTGAACAAGGAGAGATTTAACCTGGAAATAAGGAGAAACTTTCTGACAGTGAGAACAATCAACCAATGGAACAGCTTGCCCTCGGAAGTTGTGGGAGCGTCATCACTTGAGACTTTCAAGAAGAGATTGGGCTGCCATTTGTCAGAAATGGTGTAGGGTCTCCTGCTTGGGCGGGGGAGGGGAATTGGACTAGATGACCTGCAAGGTCCCTTCCAACTCTGATTGTCTGTTATCTGTTATCAATGGTTTTTGTTCTTAATAGTTCCTGCTTTCCAGCCAGTGTTTCCAAACCTGTGCTTCCACATAGGTTGAATCTCAACTTATTTTTTGACAAGCTGCCCTCAAGTATGACTGTTGAACTCTGTCATGTTTAAGTTGCATAAGGATCACTTGGCTTGTGTTGTTCGAAACGTAATAATTTGTTCAAAACTAATGATTTTAATTGTGTTAAAGATAATATTGTCCCCCCTCCCAATAATTAATTTACTCTGGGGAACTAATTTAAACTTATTCCACCACTTTTCTTCAAATCTTATGTACCTTGAATGAAGAAGTGACTTTTAGCAGCCTTTCCAGGACTAACCAGACAGTGTTAACTATGCAAATCAAAACTGTGACTGATACAACCTGGTACTATGCTGTATAGCTTATAAGTAATAAGTAATACTTTAAATTGGGCTTAGAAGTCATAGGAACACATTACAGTGACCTCAAAATCACTGTCTAATTGAACAATTCTTGCACTTAACTACATTGATTTTGTATCCTCCATGAATATGAAATACATTGGCCTACAATATGAAGTAAGAGTGGATTATGGATATTTTCTAAAGCTTATCTTTAACTAAACATAAGAATATAAAAACCTAGGAAGTGCTACACTAGATTGGACATTTGACTCTTCTCCCAGTGGCCAATAAATCTTATAAGGAAGCTGACTAATCCCCCAGCAATGACCTTCAGAGGCATCAAGGCTTATAGCCATTGATTCCCACAACTTCAATGAATTGGATCAAATCTTCATCCGTATTCTTCATATGTTCAAAGAATACTCCCAACTAATTATAACTATAGAAAATGGAAAGTCATTGTATATTGTTGAGGCATTCCCCATTAGGAGAATGAGTGCACTCAGGGAAATGTAGTGAGAGTGGTGTTGAATAATACACAACCAGCATACAGATACTGAATAGTAAAATGTAGGTTTTACTTCTAGTAAACAGATAAACAAAGTCCCGGAAACAGTCCAAATAATACACAGTTAAAGCAGTTAGTATCCAAAATAATCCAAAAATGAAGTCAAGTATCATAAACAAAGTTCAGTAAACAGAGTTTGCTAACAGTTGCAAAAACTCACAGCAATCCAAGTAGAAGACGATCAGGCAAATAGGGCAAAACAGGAAATGCAAGGAGAAAGAAACCAGGTTTCTGGCTCCATCTTATGGCCGTTGGAGGAACCTCAGCCAATCACACTTATAGCATTTTCTTAAAGATACAGTATTTAATTACTATCCTGGTTTATATATTTCCAACCCAACTGTTAAGTGACTCTCATTCCTAACATATTTGTTTTTGAATTATTGAAAAAACTTCTTAAATTGGCTCTCAACATCCTCTCAGTAAGTTAGGAATCTCTCTCATAAATCACTATTACAATCAATAATATTTTTCAAATATTTCTGACTCATTGGTATAAAATCCAATGAGAAAAGTGGTAACTTTGGCTGGTTCCTTGCTTAACTGAGAAGCTTGCTAAACCTTAGTTCTAATTAATACCTGAAAAGACAATATTTATACAGGTAATCCTCGATTTACAATAGTTCATTTAGTAATCATTTGAAGTTACAATGACATTCTGACCTTTTTTCATACTTAAAATGCTTGTAGCATTCCCATGGTCACATGATTAAAATTCAGATGCTTGGCAATTGACTCATATTTATGATGGTTGTAGTGTCCTTGGATCATGTGATCCCCTTTGCTGACCTTCTGACAAGCAAAGTCAATGGAGATTCATTTAACAACCGTGTTACTAACTTAAGCAATGATTCACTTAACAACTGTGACAAGAAAAGTTGTAAAATTGAGCAAAACTCACTTAACAAATGCCTTGCTATCAGGATTCTGGCAGTTACTCCAATTAAATCATGAGCCTCGAGACACGGTCCCAAAACTAAAAAAGATTTATTTCAAGTTAACATTCTACATCCGGCATTTACCTAGATGTAGCCAATTCTGAAATACGTAATTCACTGTCACCCTTAATCCTGCTTCCCCCCGCCCCCCCCCCCCCCCCCCCCGGGTCCATAGCCAAGCATCATCAATCATGCTCTCCAAGTAGATTTTTTCACAACAGAAGTTTCAGTCATCTAATCAGACTTTGAATAAAATATGAATGGAATGTACTTTCAATTCCACATAGCTGTCTGCTCTTTGAAACTCCCCCCCTTCTTTTTGTTGTAAACTATAAAACGTGTATAAAAAATGTTTTATGAGTTGACGCTCGCTTAGCAACAAAAATTTGGGGCTCAATTGCAGTCAGAAGTTGAGCACTACCAGTACTAGTTTTTGTTTGGATTTTATATCAATGAGTCAGACATTTTTGAAAATATGATTGATTGTAATAGTGATTTAGGAGAGAGATTCTTGCCTACTGAGAGGATGTTAATAGCTAATTTAAGAAACTCTTTCAATAATTCAAACCTATATACAATGACTTTTCATTTTCTGTTTCTAATGGATCCACTTTTTTCAGATTCTTAGTCTGCCATAGGATTTGTTTTATGTTTATTTATATAATGAGACTTGTGGAGCAGTAAGTAATTTTTTGGACAGGCTTGTGTATTAGGCAATCTGTCAAATCCTTTTGCATTACTGGTTATGGAGCTTCATAATTAAATTAATCAATCTCTTTATGACTCTTCTGTAACTTGTAAATCTAAAACCAATTGAGGATGAGATAAAGGAATGTTCAAATCTCAAAATGAGTTCTGTGTAATATAGAATAATAATGGTCAGCTTGGCAGTAGCTATATGCCTTTTCTTTCCACAAGGCTAATAGGAGCTTGGGAAGACTAATTTTGATCTACTGAACATATACCGAATGTTTCTTCCTTTGGTGTTAGTGTTGCTGTACAGATGGCCCACCAGTCATACTAAAACCCTAGAAAACTATAACAAACTCCCACATAATGTAAGCTAGGATGGTTAAAAAAAGTAATTGGTCTTGAGGAATTTGCATAATGGGTGTCTACCCAACGTAGGAGCATCATTCAGGTGTGTTGACTTCAACTTTCAGAATATGTTAACCAGCATACCGATTGATGAAAATTCTGGGAATTGAAATCAACACAGTTGGCAGATGGAGGAGAGCCACCAAGTTTCATTTAAAAATCATGTTGAAAAATCAAACATAACAATGCAACCCCAACATTTTGTACTTGCATCTTGATATCAACTGCAAGTATTAAAATTACGAGATTTATGTCATTTCATCACAATATATATTTTGTTACATAGGTTCTGTTACTATGGGATAGGCATGTTTTGTTACTTTTCCCTTCCTCCCCCTCACCCATGGCTAAAGGAACCCCATTTTAGAACTCTTATATCAGTTAGATCTATCTGTTATCTTTAACACAAAACAAATTGTTATCTGCTGTCCATTCATGTCTTTCTGGATATTGTTCTAAATAGTAGAGTGATTAGTTCCTACGAAAAAAAAGTAGGATTCCATTAAATCCTCTCCAAAAGAATAAAGGGATCTGTATATTGAGATGTAGTATTTATTAGTGCACAGAAAAAAAATCTTCCAAGAACTATCCACTTTTATCTGGCCTCTGACGACATTTTTGACAGAGTGCATCACTCCACAGATCCTATAGAGCAGCAGCAGGTGAAATATTAAACCCTCCTTTCTTAGGATAAATATTAAGAATTACTTAATGGAAGGGTAAGAGAAGGTTGCCTCCATTCTTCATTGATTTGAAGATCAATTACACAAAGTGGGCATCGAATATACTTTGCTATTCAAAAGTTACAAGTACAAAAATAATCCGATAACGCCTGAACACTATCCTGATTTCCATTCCACGAAGACCAGGGAATGTTCTTTACACTTACAGAAATGTAAAGAATTCATCTGTTAAGTTGAAGTATATGTGAACCAGTGGTGGGATTCAAATTTTTTTACTACTGGTGCTGTGGGCATGGCTTGGTGGTCATGTGACTGGGTGGGTGTGGCTTGGTGGTCATGTGACTGGGTGGGTATGGCTTGGTCATGTGACTGGGTGGGCGTGGCCAACTTGACCTCACTCACGTCAAGGGGTGCCTTGCCTGGCCTCCCCTCGCCTCAAAGAGATACTATTTCCCTCTCTATTTATTTACTCCTACTGAACATCCAAAATACACTATTTAATCCTATGTATATATGCCATATGTGTACATACATATTACATAGTATAGTGTGTGTATAGGCATACAAAAAGATACTGTATGTGTATGTATATACACAACCACACACACAGTTCTTCTAAAACTATACACATTCAACTGCACTGCATTTGGAAAAACACCCATAGTCCACTTTCTGCCACATGTTTAACTATAACTTCTGCACATTAGAATGTTGCACACGCCTTCAGATTTACTTCCCTAGTCTGCACATGACCGTTAGACCGAGGAAATGTCATGGATTGAGTAAAATGTGGTGAAACTCACTTACCTCCTATTTTTCTTATATTTATTCAATAAATATAAGAACCCCTTGATGTGAGTGGCCTAAAGTTGACCATACCCATCCAGTTATATGACC